CTACTACTACCTTATTCGTTTCCTTTTATAGCCAGAACAAAAACAAGTTATATATTTATTATTCTTGTAGGTATCAATAATATTTTAACAATAAGTACTTAATTACATATGTATATGTGTCGTAATATTGATAATTTACAATGTTCCGAGATGATTTTTCTAAATAGTTTACAAACATATCGTGTATGACCAATTTATCTTATCAAAAACAAAAATAAAGAAACAAAATTTTCCTTGTGATAAGAGTTTATGGGGAGAGTTGGTTGATGGTCGTATTAAAAACCGGTTTAAAAAATTGCAGCAACGTTTGAAAAAGAGTGGGAAGAGAGAACTGAACGCTTACACACACATACATATAACATGTGTCGTTTTGTTCTGGGAACTCTAAATTTATCGGTAGTTCGGTTTGACCGGGAGAGAACAGTGTGGGAGAGTAAAGGAGAGAAACCGAAGATAGAATGAAAGAGGGAAAGAGAGAAGAAACAACTCCCTCCAGCTGTGTCGTTACCACCTTCTTTACCACCCTATCCCACCCTTTTTCTATCTCTTTCTTTTTCTCTATGTTTTTTTCTCTCTCTCAGGATGAAAACTGGCTTCCCTTTTTCTTCTTTTACGCTTCCGAAGCCGAGTGGATCCGGCGTTGTTGAATATCCTCTGAATTATGCATGCATTCGAAATGCGTGCACACCGGGTATAAAGTATAGCTTGTAGCAGCTTCTGTAGCTTCAAACTCATCCCATACCATGTCTCTCAACGTGCGATTTAAAAAGCTTCTACTCTCTCTCTCTCTCTCTCTCTCTCTCTCTCTTTCTCTTTCTCTTTCTCTCTTTTTCCCTCTCTTTCTCTTTCCACTACGGAAACTACGGTTTTCATCTCAAACGACTCGCTTTTCCAAGTGTAAAACATACCCATGTGTATATATATATATGTATTATATATTTCTATGGATGCATGTTCTATTCTGTAATAACGAAACGATCGAAAATGACGTTTGATTTATCACAAAAGATTCCCTCTCTCTCTCTCTCTCTCTGTCTCTCTTTCACTCTTTTTCTTTCATGAATATTTGTAAATTCGCATGATCGAACTTTCGTCTCGTCTCGTCTCGTCTTTTTAATTAATGAACGATGACGCCGCAAGAAAATAAAAATAGATAAAGATGAGAGAAAAGGGAACAAGGGACCAAGATATTGTTTTTTTTTTCCTTTTTCTTTCTTTATTTTGCCGACAGCAAAATCTTCTTGTCTTTCTTCGCTCGAGTACTTATTACTCGAGTAATAAGCAACTTTCAAGCTTCGAAAGAAAATAGAAGAAGAAAAAGATGAGGAAAGAAAGAGAGAGAGAGAGAGAGAGGGGGGGGGGTTGAAATCGGGTTATTCTCAAATTCGTTGTTCCTTCATTTTCGTGATCCGGAAGAATGCACGCGAAGTATGTTTTTCATCAATTTGTAAAATAAAGAAAATAATAAAGCCCAAAGAAGACGAATATAACACTTTGAATATATTATATAAAACACACCTGCTATATATTTTCTTCTTCTTGTTTTCTCTTTCTCTTTTCTTGTTTTGTCTTATTTGAAATGCATATGTATGCATATTGATACGAATGCGAATCGATTCTATTTGTAATGCATTGGAACCGGTAATAATAATAACTGTCATGCGGGATCATTTAAAATATTTTGAAAAACATATTTGTTCTCGATAATTAAGTAATTATCATAGTTAAGTAAGATAATCAACTAAAAATTTTTGATAAAGAAGAAAACTGGTACAAAAGAAATATCAGTGAAATGTATCATATAACGAACAATAATACAGTTAATTTCAGAACTGATACCAACAATCTAAACAGCATATATAACGAAATTTTAAAATTTAATTACCATAACAAGACACATAACAGAGGTTACAATAATAATAAAGACATCTAAATTAGGAAACACCAGCTTAGAKGTAACCAGTAGTGTTCGAAAAGTTATAGTAGAATAACGTTTTTAAAAATTGACTCTATTTATAAGATAGTGAAAACTTATGACTGTAATAAAAATGATGTTATATTGACTTATGAACATAACTATCAAGGTAAAATAACGCTATRAATTGTAAGTTCTTTTTGGTATTGTATATAAAATAATATGTCATAATAAATAATTTTAGTTGCTGAGGAAGTCTCAAATAGAGACGAAACGTTCAACGGATAAATATAGTGTTCATCTTAATTAAACCCGTCCAAAAAACAACTTCCCTAAGAGTAAACTTAGTAATAATAATCAACTACGTTATTTTCAGTATACGTAATAGTTAAAAATAATTTATTTAAAAAATAAATATAATAGAATAGGTTGTATTTTTTTTTAATTTTAAATTAATTTATTAATATATTTGTTACTTATACGAGATAGAAATTCTTGATTTTATTATCTGAAGTGAAGAAATAATATAATAATATCAAATGTATATTCTTTATAATCTCATTTAATCAAATAATAACGATAGACATTTATCTTATTCGACCGGGAATGAGAAAAGATATGAAAACTTTTAACCAATCCCAAGGCGACAAACATAACATCGATTTAATCTTCATTCGTGGATACGTGCAATATATAAACGATTTAAAAATAATTCATACATATTGATATTTAAACGTAGATATAAAAAGAGAAAAAAAGAAATTAAAATGAACTATTATCATAATGACTATCGAGGTTAATTAGAATCAAGTCGTGTCATTAACTTAGACATTAACATTTCAGTTTATATGTCCATGACATAAATTAAAATCCAAATAATTAATGAATCTTTAAAAGTAATTATGAATAAAATACGTGATCGTAATGAATGGAGGAGACGGAGGGGAGTTTCAAAAAAAAAAAAAGAAATAAATAAAACACTTTAACAAGGGGAAATAGAAAAAAAAAAAAAAGTAATAATCTAACCTGAGTTAAACGAGCTTCGTTCTTCGATAGAAAAATCCCTCGTATCTTCTGCGAATCCGTAGGAAAAGCAATTTCTTTGAAATTTTCTATCACGAAAATATCGAATTTCAATCGATCGGGGGGAGTCTTTTACTTTCTTTTAATTTTTTTTTTGCTTTTCTTACTTTTACGAAAATAAATGGAAAATGAAAAAAAATACGATGCACCGTATATAATACACCGTTGAACTATCCGAATCACCACCACCACCGGAGTGTATGATTTTTTAGCAGCAGACACGTGGTGTGTCGTGACGACCGGCGTCGCGATGCGTTGCGTTCGAACCTGGCAATGTATGGTGGTCTCTTTATGAACTCTCTCTTTCTCTCTCTTTCTTCTTCTACCTCCCCAAGTACTCACTGTGAATGAGAGAGAGAAAGAAAGAGAGAGAAACAGAAAAAGAAAGAGATAATGCGATCTCTCCTTCTTTCTCTCTCTCTCTCTCTTCCTTCCAACCCGTTCCCCACCATACCTCTTTTTACCCATTCCTTCGTTCAGTAAACCCCCACCATTATACCAAACCCCCACCACCAAACCCAACTCATTCTTTCCCCTTTCGCGAATCCGATGGACGGTCATGGGGTTCTCGAGTAGACGGCTATCACAAAAAGGGACGTGCTATCGATCTCAAGGACCTCGTCCTAGGATAGGACCTTTTTTCCTTTTTATTTTTCTTTTTCTTTTCTTCCCAACACCCTATTTCTACCCCCTCTTAAACTCCATACCCTCGTATTTACGTTCAATCGATCGAGTTATTATACTATATCTTTAAATATTATTTTTTCTTTTTTTTCTCTCAGGGAGGGAGAGAGATATTTTTTTTCATTAGAATTTTTTAATATTAAATTTAACGAGACAGTTTTTGTACCGTGTTCGGTCACATGACTGACGTTTGAAAAAAAAATGTCTTTTCGTTTTAATTATTTTTTTCTTTTTTATATATATAATTGATATGCAGATAATAGTTATTGATTTAGATTATAATTTAAATCCATTTTGTCTCGGATTTTATATTAAAAAGAATAAATAATAATTGTAATTGTTTTAAAATAAAATATTGACGGTGGAGTTTTAATTGAATATCGAAAACCGATCGTTTAACTGGTCGATTTATATGCGTTTAGCGTTGATACGAAGTCTTACTTATCGATTCTGTACATCAAATGCATGCAAATGAATTGTACTGTATAGAGAAAGTTCATAGATCGTAGGTAGGATTAGTTTCTAGAGACGTTTGAATTAAAATTCTAAAGCGAAGAGTAACTTTTGGGTTAGATAGTTGTATAGTTTTAGGTAGAATAGTATTGGAAAGTCTTAGAACCAAGAACAAGGTCTTAGATCTATGTACAAAGTGCAATAAAAAAAGATTACAAAAGTCAAGTGTAAGAAGAAGAAGAAAATGTACAAGATGTGTGCCGGCATCTATAGGAGGGTACGATAACTATAGAATCGCGAAAACGGTATCTGTATAATATTACACTTGTTTGAACATTTGTTAAATTAAATTTCAAATTATTTAAATTATAATAATGAAAAAAAAAATTATATATATACTCGTATTGAAATATTTGTACTTGTAGAAAGTTTGACTTACCATAGATACTATAAGAAAATATTGAAAAATATATAATGACTTTTATCTAAAGTTCATTGAACCTTTATGAGCATATATATCTACCAATAATGTAATCAATATTATTAATTAAACATCAAATTTTAGTGAGAGAATGTTAATTAACACATTGTTGACTGATCACGCGTTTACACTTGTATGCAATTTAAAATATAATTATTAAATTATAAGATAGTATATATAAGTGGTGTATTTTTTTTTATTTTTAATAATTATTCACATTTTTCATCGAATTGTTATAATTATAATAATCAAAAATTGGATTATTAACACAGTTCCTTAATTACTTTTCTGTACGTGTATACAAAATAACCAGTCAACAATTCACTTTATATATATATATAAAATTAATTAACGTAGAAATTATTTTTTGGTTTGTTTTCTTACCCACACAAGTAGGCAACTTATCGATGCTCTCGTTCCATTTTCCGTTCTTACACTCAAGTATTCTATTCTCTTTCCTCGTGTCGTAAAACACGGTGCCGGATTTACACGAGAACGTTCTTGACGTCACTGTATCATTCGATATATAACTTCCGTTTGGTGCTGAAACGTTTGGACAGCGTAAAACTGAAAACAATATTGCTATTACTTTATGTAAATACAAGATACTTATCGATATTGATTTTACCTCGAGAATTGCGAATAAAATCTGCCAATAAGAAAGTTCAAATTTGTAATATAAAATATTTCTATACTTTTTTATCCCAAGATTATTTATAAATCACAGAACGTCGTATTCAATTTTAGTACATTTAGTAAAATTAATTACATCCACTTTTAAAATTGATACGATAAAATAATATTATAAATAGAAATAATAATATTATTATATCTTTATTTGAATCGATTATTAATTGATAAAATCAATCTATGATAAATTTAATCGAAAGGAATTAAGTTATATTTGTAACGTGTCGCGTTGGTGGTTAGTAGTACTCGTCTATCTAGAAATATCCAATGCTATTTCTGGATAGAACAACCATACGTTTTGTAATCGTTGGTTGGATCTTACTTAAAGTCAGTTATCTACTCACGAAGTGTTTGACTTTCATTTTAGAGAGTATCAGACATAAGTAATTGTTCAAAGTTAACAGTTACACAAAACATAGTGATTCTTAGAGGATCATCGCAGAGATTGCATACAAATTGAAATGATTGATAGTTAGACCAATGAGTCATAGACCGACCTTGATATTGCAGAAGGAATCCTCGTGCAGGATAAAGTCTCGTCGAGGTTATCAGGTCAAGGGTCACCAGGTTCGAATTAGAGATTATTGTAATACCAGCGGCGATACCACAACGTTCGAACAAAGTATTTCCTTTTTCTCGAATTCTAACTACGTCTACACAACTTCCATCCGACTCTGGGCCTGTTCGAATATTCAAATATTATGTAAACAATTATTTCATAAATTATACTTAATTACAATAAATAATTTCCAATTCATATAAAAGAAAATTGTACGATTTTAATAATAAGATTAATTAGATAAATGGATTTTTTCTATATATATAGAAATATGATATTCTTTCTATAGAAAAATATTTGATTATATTTAATTAAAGATCATAGAATTTATGTGTATTTAAAGTATTTATCTCTAGAATCAAACACATATAATTTGATTAGCTTATCACATATTCGAAACTTACTGCGAATATTTAGGTCGTGAAAAGTAAGGACTATCCTTTCACCCGGTGACGATTTAAATGTCCAACCACAGGAATAACCTCCTGAATAATACAGTGGATATCCTGGAGACTTTAAATAACCTCCCTCCTCCCCTTTGGGTATTTTTACTTCAACGTTACAATATTTACAAACCGCTATCTCTGAAATCAATATATTCATAATTATAATTAACCATAAAAAAATATGTATAAGATATAAAATACAGAAAATAAAGTCAACAACCTCAATTGCACCCCCTATCTGTCATCGAATTGATTTTATTTATTAATTAAATTACTATAGAGAAGAGAGAGAAAATAAATTCTTTTTTTGTTTAGAATGACTCGCTTTAAAATGCGAATTATTAAATAAGGGATACATTTGGCAGAAGGCAATCTACTACGGGGTAGAAAGATCAACATCTGCGTCCGTTATGGTCCATTTGTCGATCTAGAGCGTGACCGTAGGATCCATTAGAACTGTGATGTCAGATAGGTGAGTGGGGTGGTATAGGTTGGGGGTGTCGACGAAGATGTCGTCGAGGTCTGTCCTTGCCCTACTTTCACTTGGAGAGTGCGCTCAAAGTGGGGCTTCTAAATGGGGATTCGGACCGATATTAGGGCGCCGAAGGAGAGGGAAGTTTTCCCTTCTACCCTTAACCCCATCTCGTAATTACACCGAATGGATAATCTTTAATTGGAAATGAAATTTTAAGTAAAGAAGAACAAAAATTTGTGTAACAATTTAAATCGTTGATAATTAATAATCTATCTCGTTAATTTTGTTATTGTCCATATCATTTATCGTTATACTTTATTTTTTTTTCCTAACGGTATAGTAAGATAATATCTCTACGTTTTATTAAAAAAATCATTTATTATTTAAAAACGTTTTGTAAATTAACGATTATATTATTTGTGATCTTCGCAAAATGTTCGTATCGAATGAATCGTGAAAACGTTAATAAATAAATATTACAGATATAAGTATTGCAAAGAGTATTAAAAAATGATTATAGTCGTCGTAATATGTTCTTACGAAAGTAACATTGTAAGTATCTTAAGAATTTTTCCCACGTGTTTTATCGATTTCCTTTTACTACCCCCACGTCTATTCTCATTTATTTCAAGTCATCGAGATTACCTCTTAAAAGCTTCTCGTTACGTTAGCAAGCACGTAGTCGACAATAAAGGAAATAAAATCGATGTGAATCGAGGAACGAATCTCTAACACAAAGTAGACCCGACGTATCAATAGAAATCATTGTGAATCAGATCGGTTCGTTTCGAATTCTTTTATCTGGGGGTTTTATTTTTTTTTTTTTTTCTTTTTTTTTTCATGACCCATAACGAGAACGACAAAAATTTTTTTCTGCTGCTTTTCATGGAATTTTGGATAGCACGTTCAAAGTGTTACATAGAAAATCCCACTGTAAGCTTTAGGGATTGGTAAACCGTCCCCATTTCCATTTTGCCAACGTCCATTCATTTCGTACTTTGCTTTGCAGCTGTCCCCGATTTATCTCCGATTGGTGATACAACCGATAACGATCGAAACGATATACCAACGATTCGAATCACATTTTTTATTACATTGCTTTGCAAACTCAATCGAAATCAAATAGAATAGAAATGACAGTATATATTATATATGCGTCCGACGATCGTAAATATTAATGTTACGTTTAACATATTTTCACGACTATAACAATCAAAAAATCATTTCACGAGTTTTACGAAAGAAAATTATTTTGTTGATTTATTTTCTCTACTCTTTTTTTTCCACCCCACTCCACTTCCCCCTGTCTCCTTCTTCTCCTCTTCTCTCAACGAATAATAATAATAATAATAATAATAATAATAATTTGGTGGAATAAATTCAAGCGTGTATAACGTTTAAATCGAGGGTAGAATTTGAGAGAAATTTAATAATTGAAATAAATAACAAACCAGGTAACTGGTTGCAGTTTAATTTTGTTACATTGTTATCGATTTTTAATATCACCCATAGTCAACGTTTAAACATATATACATACATACATACATACGTATATATATATCAACGCGTATACAACTAATACATGGAAGATTAATTACTCGTCACGTCACGCAGGATACGGGTCACGTCGTTGAGAATTATTATTCCTGTTGTACTAAAACATGCACCGATGCTGTTCTACCTTTCTGCTTTAATATAATATTAACGATAATAAATCTTTCTCGTGTAATAAAATAACAAAAACAAAAAAGAAAAGGGGAGAATAGTTAAAATACGATATTTCGTGGATGCATAAACGTGCATCTTTTTTTTCTCTTTTATTTTTTATGGAAAAAGAAGAAAAAAAAAACAAATACGATAAACGAATTTAAATAAAAAATTAAAAAACACATTCATTCATATCGAATACTCACCAGGAACGCAAGCGTATTTTAATCTTAAAGCAGCGGGATGCCAATAAGTCGTTCCTGGGTGGTCGTTGCTCAAATTGTATCGACAATGATGTTGACCGGAACATCTGCAAAAAAAAGGAGAAAAGAAAAAAAAAAGAAAAAATAGATTTAAAAGAAAGAGGAGCAAAGAAATCGTTAGTTAGATTTCAAACGCAAAAACTCGATCGACGAGCTTTTTGTCAAGCCCTTTGAATTAGAATAAATTCTATGTCGTAAAAAGTTAACTTCATTGTCAGGTGACATGAGAAATGATAGTGCAGGGAAATAAAGGATGCCCCCCTCCCCCGATCGTTAGTCCTTCCAACGAACGTCAAAATAAAAAAAATAAAAGCAAAACAAGTGCTGCAAGAGAACGGAAATAAAAGAACAAAAATCGCGATTCCGGTTGCTATCATTCGCATCGAACGGACGTTAATGCGAGAGTTGAGCTTAAATAAAGAGGGGAAATTCTTTGTTTTCAACCCTCTCGCAAAGGGTTCGTCAACGTAGTTACACCCTTCGATCCATCCCCCGCCTCCTACTCCTCTTACACCCACCACGTTCGACCCTTTTCCGCTTCGTCGATTTTATCGTCTCCCCCTTCCCTTTTTTGTATTTTTTTTTCCTCACTGCAAATAAAATAGCTTTCACTCTTTCTCTCGTGTCAGGAACGACTACAAATTCTTATGAATTTTTTAAAGCTAAACCCTTTCTTCCGAATGAAATTAAAGAAAACGTTTCCCCCGCCMCCCCCCCCCCTCTCACCGGTTACAAATTTCCTGCAACATGTTACAGAAACAAATCGTAAATCTGTTCTTTTTCTTGTTGTTTTTCTTCTTCTTCTTCTTCTTCTACTAATACTACTGCGTTATATAGTAATCATTGCTTTTACTCTACATTTCCTTTAAATTTTGAGAATTTATTTACGCGTCTCTGGTTAATATTGCATTTTCGTAGAGCTGCTTTCTAAGAAAATAATGTCTAATGTAAGTAAACGTTATAAATTCGAATCGCATAACTTTTTAAACAACCATCGCACACATCTGGCCTTTCGAAATAAATAACGCGAGAGCGCGTTAAAGTTTTCTTTAACTTTCGTATTCGAAAATTTGTTTTTCAATTTTTACGATTCCGTTATGTTTTATAGTTTTCATTTTCTATTCTTTCGATCTTTTTATTATCTAATTGTAAAATAAAAAAAATGCGAGACGATGCTCTCTTCGAAGAGAGTATCCCTTCTTCTTTTTTTTTCTTTTTTTCGTTTTGCAATCACAGTCAGTCGATTTGCGTCATTTTTCAATCGACCTTCGGTAACTTGAAACCTCCCTTCTTCTTCAACAGAAGCAATTAAAGCTCTTCGACATCAAAGCTGTGATTTGATTCCACCCTCTTGGATGTGCATCCGAGACGCAATAAGGGTTTCTCAAGTGGCGTTTCTCATATCGAGTCCTTGTTCAAGATGGAAAATGAAAAAAAAAAAAAGATATTTGTGCGTGGATATACGATTAATCGAATATTGAAGAAGAAGAAGAAGAAAAAAACAACAAGATGATATGATGCATTTTTATTTTACAAAGATCATTCTTTAATGAGGATACATCCATTTTACCTATAATCTTTATTAAAAATTAATATCATCATATCTTTCATTAACATTTTTTTACATATATAATATAATATAAGATAAATTTATAAATAAATGATTGAAATAAAATAAGTTTATTAAATTTTCACGAGAAAATGTAATACATGTATTACAGTTGTCTCATAAGAATAATTGTCCAAATATGAGATCGATCTATTTATGGTTTTTCGATCTTTATCTATTTTGCAAAAAAAAGAAGGAAAAAAACTCCGGTATATCGTAACGAAAAAATAAAGAAAATACGAATAAATTCTCCAAAAAATCAAGAGTAGATGCAAAATGAATTCGAGACACAGTCGTCGATTGTAAATAAAAATAAAATATAAGTTTCTTTTTGCAACGTTTTCCCTGTGGTCTCTGTAACTATCCCAACCGTAATCGAATATTCTCAATTACTCTCTCTTTCATCGCGCGGTCATCGAATTTCGAAATATTGTATTAAAAAAAAAATGAAGAAGAAGAAGAAAGAGAATAAAATAAAATAAAATAAAATAAACTTACTTTCTGTTGAAGGAAGCCCTAACGTCGTAAAGATTACGTTCGTCTTCCTCCTCGTCTTTGATATAATTTCCACGTAATTGCCTGCTGGTGTCTTTGACGCGTGAACCAATGCCTCCCAATTTGAATTTCTTCTTTTTAGAAATTAACATTTGACTCTCGTGTCCGCAAATTTCCGTACGATTTGGTTGATACTCCGCTTTCAATACAAATATGAAAGCTCTTAATGATCTGCACGTTAAACGTAACACACGATCGGAACATTGTATCTCATCGATTATTTCCATATTACCCGATGACAATTTCACGGCTTTGGTTGTACGGATAAACGATGAAGGATTATCACTCGTTGGGACAATAATACGACAGATACCAGGTACTGTCAATTGTCCTAAAAATGTAAGAACAAGAAGTGGGAGAAAAATAACGTTGGGAATCGTTGTTCTTCTAACCAAACCCATGACTGATCATTTCACGAGGATACCTCGGCTCTTAGGCTTACTTCTCAAGGATCTTTTCTTAAAATTAGCCCTCTAGAGAAAGATCTGGAGGGTTGAGTCGAGTGTTTTACCGATAACGTACTCGTTAACTTTTTTTTTTTCTTTCTTTCTTGTTCTCTCTCTCTCTAATTTATTTATTTCTACTATCCAATTTGGAAGCTGCCGCGTGCGTGTGCGTATAAGGGAAGAGATAGACAATTTTTCTTTTGATTCGCCACTTTTTTCTTTTACTTTTACACACACTCGAGTTCCTCTCTCTCTCTCTCTTTCTTTCTCCTTTCGTTTTGATTTATTTTCTTACTCTCTTTATGTCAAGCAAGATCGTTGAACCCTTTCCTCTTAGTCTCCATTCGCCTTTCGTGGGAACCAATGTTTCTTGCGACCGTGTTCTTGTTTACCGTACGATCGATCGATGTTTGATATCAACTATCACACATACACACATAACGACGAAATATTATTACTTACTTGTTTTTATCGACAAATAATTGTTATACTTTTTTGATGCTCGATCGATCGAATACACTTTTCTTCTTTTTTTGTTTTTGAAAATCGAGAAATCTAATGAAATAACGTGTTCGAATGTGACGATACATCGTCGAGGAAAGTCGTAATAAGAATAACGACTTGTTGTACGTTCAATTGTATACGATATATAAAAAAAGAACTCGTGTAACGCGATCTGACTAAATAAATAAACGATTAAACCCATTGAATAGCATCTTTGTGTGCTATTATTGTTACGATTTACCTTCACGATCTTTAATTAATAATTAAAAATAGAAATCGATTTGTGTGTGATTGAATACTCAAATATTTTTTCCTTGTAAATTCTTTCGCCCTCTCTCTCTCTCTTTCTCTCTCACACACATACACAGAGTTTCTTTTTATTTTCGCAAACAAAAATTATGTTCTTTTTATAAAAAAATAATTTAGTTTTGAAGGGGGAAAAGAAGATAAATGTTTTGAACCGATCGAACGTTTCTTCTGTAGGAATAATCACAGAACGACTGACACGAAAATCTTCCAAACTTTAGAATTATTTTCTAATCGAATTCTCTCTCACTCTCTCACTCTCTCTCTTTCCTCTCCCTCTCTATCTTTGGCTCTTAGCTCTTTCTCCTTTATTTTCGGCATGCGTGGTAAGATTTTAACGAGTGTTTCGATAACTTAACGAGTATCTTATCCCGTCGAAACGTTGTGGTTTGTTGGTACAGAGAAGAGGAGGCCTCCTCCTCCTCCTTGGTGAGCGATCAATCGATTACGTTCAATTTCCACACGGTTTTTCAATGAAAGAAATAAAGAGAGAGAGAGAGAGAGAGAAAGACTAATATAAGTGTGTTTTCTATATATCCCTCTCTCTCTCTCTCTCTATTTTTTTTCGTCCCTTTCTTTCCACTCTTTGCACGTTGAATTCTTTCGTTCCAAGGACGTGATCTAGAATAGATCGAAGTATATTTATACATAAACGTATCTTCTCGGAATTGTCTCTCTCTCTTTTCTTTTTATAATTTTTTTTTCTTTTATTCTCTTTTTATTCTTTGCACGAAAATAGGCTCCTCGTCTTTTTTTTCTTTTTTCTTTATATTCAAATATATCTCAATATATTTTGTTTTTTAATACCACGTAATAATATCACTCGTTTCAATCATTATTATAATTAATATCATCTACGATCCCAACCTTTTGTCGGAACTTCTGTCGGTTTCCCTTTCGAACGTTCACCAAACTTCAAATTGAAATCAAACACACTTACGTGTCTCGTTTCTCTCCTCCTTATTCTCATTCTCCTAATATTTCACTCTCTTTTTTTTTTCTTCCCTTTTTCTTGTACTTTTAACTTCGTCGGACGAGAAATTAAGATTTCAAGGCTTTCACGAATTACAATATCATTCCTCCGAAACCGGACGAATAAATCGAGCCGATTAGTTACACTTTTACCGGGTAATATCCATATTTCCTGATATTTCTAAATCAACAAACTCTTTTTTCCTTCTCTACATCCTCCTTCAAACCTTCTCTCTCTCTCTTTATCTTATTCTTTCTTATTATTTCAACGGGTTTTACGATCAACGTATACAAAATTAAATTCACCGATGTTACGTTTGTTAATCAATCGATCAATCAATTCACGTCATCGTAAGTAAAAAACTGGGATAATCAAATTAACAAAATCCATCGTCGAATACGATAATGTCCATGACGAATGTGACAAAGAACGTTTCCTTCGCGTTAATCTTATAGTAATAATATTTTTCAATCCAATTTTTCGCGACATCGTTTTAATAACACTATCATTCCCCCGTTATATTATCATTTTCGCGGGATACGCACGCGACCAAAAAAACCACTCACTCGCGTTGACTACTTGTCCTGATGTGTGCTGCGATTCGTTGCGTTGCTTACACTGATCCCACACTCTCTCTCTCTCTCTCTCTCTTTCTCTCTCTCTCAAATATCTTTTACTCGGTCTCACTTATTCGCCCTCTCACTCTCACTCACTCTCGTTCTCTTTTACTACTATCATCGTAGTCTCTTAGCATGTTCGGTGGTAGGTAGTAGAAACGTTTGTGGGTATTCACCGGAAGCAACGGTAGCTTTAGTAAAAGCAGGGACCGACCAGGAGGGACCCTTCTCGCCCTTCGAGCACGTGTACGCGTATTACACACGTTTACGTTGGCAAGAGGGATGAAGGAAGGAAGAAGAGAAGAATGGAGAGGGCGGAGGGGGGAATCGAGTTAGGGGGCAGGGCCACGTTGGTTTCTAACCCTCGTAGGGTAGGTTCGTGCCACGTTGTCCTTTTTCCCCTAACTTTCCTTTTTGTCCCCTCCTCCCTCCTTCTCGATTTTCCTTTCTAATCTCGCGCGTGTACCCCCCCATTCCCTTCCTTTCTCCGCCTTTTCTCCCTCGTCATCCCTCCTCCCCCTTCTTTTTATCTTTTCACGGATCAACGCCAATCTTACCAGCTGCTCTTCTTGAAATTTCACATTTTCATGTTCCTTCTGGTTATCCTCTTCTACGTTACCAATATATATATATATACTTATTGTTAACCGAAATTGGAATAGATGAAAAACAAGATATTCCTATTTTTTCTTTTTATATGTTAATAATTCTATACGTGGTTTGGACGATTTGAAGAAAACAATTAGTTAGGCTATGAAAAATCTCAAGTTTCCAATTGGCTGAATGAATGCTGGAGATGTTCCAAAAGTGGTTAGGCATTGTTACCGAGATATCTTCCGTTCTAGCCATTGTCCTTAACAAGAGTACTCTTCCGTAGTTACGAAAGATAGAAGCAGAGAGAAAGAGAGAGAGAGAAAAGTTGAGGTCCTGCAATCGCTATTGTCATTGGCACGTGGGTAATGGTAACCAGAGTATTGGCAATGCATCTGCGTCGATCGTTTGGCAGGAAGTACCCATATTTCTTGTTCCTGTCATCAAACCACCACCCTATCCATTGTCCTTCGAATAAGGAGACTCTATTTCTAAAGATTTTAGACGATAACATCTGCACGAAAGTAAGTGCTACGTGCATATATACTTGTTAAATGAGAAACGCATTGAAATTGCATCTGTTATAATATTGTGAGATTCGATACTAGTATTATTATTCATCTAATTTCTAGATCTCGATCACGATCACGATCCATCCTATCTCACGAATATTTCATAATATTTTATATCATTGTATCCATGTATACATCATTATCCATGTGTATTTGTATATGCTACATGCGTATGCGAATTTGTAATTTAAAAAAAGCTAACAAGACATTTTTATTCGTTACGAGTATCATCTTTCATACTTTAGGTCCTTGATCGATATTCGTAATCGATACCAGAGAAAGTTATCTTCGGACTACTGAAGTTACATATTACATTTTGTTCGGCGTCTCGATTTTAATATATGCATAGATAATTATTCTTTTTTTCCTACTTTTTTTTTCATTTTTATAACTTTAGAAAATAACATTGTCAAGTACGTGTTAATGTATATATATATGTATACGTAGATGTAAAGAATGGTATTAAAGTGTTAAGGTTTCTTTCCTATTTCTAGTGACCTTTCATAGTTTTCTGCACTTATATATGATATTTAGATCGATATACATAAAAAATATACTCGATGAGATACACTATTGGTCAAAATTATTTTATCGAGTAAAAAAATATATTAAGGAAATTAATTAGAGGTCATTCATTTTTATAACAAAAATTAGATTACTTTTAATAATGTATTATCTGCGTACTATTTTTGGAATCCTAACAACTTTGGCACAATCTTGTGGAAATAATAATTATTTATTTCGTTGAACAAATAATTGATTTTTTCTTTTTATAGAAAGACGGTGAAATAATTTTAATCGTTAGTAAATGTATATGTGCGAATAGATGATATTTGAATAAAATAATTTTCTATTAGACTACTGTGCAAACATAAATTAGAAAATATGTGATCGAATTATTGTCGAATGGTCGATAAAGTGCATACGGTAAATGACTAATAGACAATTTAGAGTTGGGTCGGGTTTTAACCCACTTTGCATAGTCATTAGACAACGACATACGATTTGGCGTGGATCGATAGACAATTTCAAAGTTAAATGAAAAAGAATCGTATCCGGTAGGTAGGTAGAGGTCTGGTGCCAACAACCCGCCAACATTTCTCACCCCGATTATGTCGAGAAGACGTGGAAATAAATGACTTATTTAGAATTAAAACGACATGTGCTATCGGTTACGGCTCGTTGATTTAGTAAATTCGTTTTTAAATTGTATTCATTAATCCTAATCCATTATCCTAGAAACTGTATCCTCGAAACAACGCGTTTGTATCCTTCACGTTGATGGTTTTCATAAATTTTTTCTTCTTATCGATCATGAACGAATATACTTTTACGGTATAATTTGTATGATTAAACGTTTAAAATAAAAAGAAAATGCATTATTTTCGCAAGAAGATTCATTTTGTAAGCTTTGCGAACAACTCGAAAATATGGAATATTTCCTATGAAAATCTTTCTCTACTATGATTATTATTATTATTATTATTATTATTTATTCGTGCGTTATTTAACTTCAACATATGACGTGAATATTAAAGTTTGTTTCTGGTAGGCTTGTAAATTATTTCGTAGGTTCCATCGGCTCGAAAAAACCTCGTCACTCTTAATAGGATTACGTATTACGCGAAGCTCGAAAGTACGTGGCATAGGTTGTTCTTGCATAATCCACCCTCCTTCACCGGTTACCGTCTGGCAAAGCTGTGTTTCCTTTTATCCCTATGTATTAGTTTAAGTTAGAGAATGAGTGAAAAAAAAGAAAAAGAAAGAGAAGAAAAAAGAAATAGAAAGAGAGAGATAGAGAGGGTTTAAAACTGTTTTGATGTATTCTCGACTATGTTTATCCCACGAATACAAATACTCCGCAGTTTTCCCCATACCATAAAATAATTAAAACTATTTTCATTGCATCCCCTCCACCCTTCCATTCCACTATTTCCAGTTTTGCCATTAAAAAATTCAATGAATTGCACCACCATTATTATTTTGCACCAATATTTCTTTTCTCTATTAAACATATTAACAACCAACGAAAAACACATAATTCGCGAATAAACGTTTACGTTTAACTTAACATTTTCGTTATTTCTTTTTATGTGGAAAGCATGGAAATGATTTCTAAAACAAATAATCCGATAAATATTACTTACGTGTATAATTAGAAGTATAGTAGATTCCTAGACTATCAACAAGATGTTTAGAAAGTGTTGATACGACCGTAGGAACGCTGGCAAGGAACCTTAACTAACAGCC